TGCAATTTTTTCCACCAATTGAAATGTCTTTACATCCACATTAACATGAATTCAACAGACTGTAGTAAACAGATAAATGGAGGCAGAAGATGTCTTTCAGTCATCAATGCTCATATTCGGTGACACACAGGAGCTCTTTCAAGCTGGGCACCGTTTCATTCACAACACCTGTCCCATCAACCAGGAAATACTTTAATAATCCCAGGCAGGGATTACTTTAGTTACATTACTCCATCTGTAATAGAGTGACTATAGAACCAGTTTGATAGAACACTATTTCATACAATACATAAAATTAGGGGGTCCCCGCTCCATCTCGCCATCAGTTTGGGGGTCCTTAGCCTGGAAAATGTTGAAGACTCCTGATTTAGACTATATTTGGTTAAATAGGAAACCTTTTCAAAGTGGAATAAAGTCCTAATTCCACATTGATCAGAGCCAGTGATGCTTTAAACATTGATAAACAGCATCTAGTGAGTTTAGTGCTGATAAGGTTTATATTAATGTAGAAGAAATGCTGCTGTTCTCTTTAAACTAAATCTGTCCTGATGCTCAGATTAAGCTTAAAAAAAGAGCATGAATATTTCTGCAATGGACCAATGAAGATGAGGACCAATAGAGTCCCTACCAAAGCTGGAATCAAACCTTGGATTAAAGGGAGTTTGAAATACGGATAGATTCTGCCCCCTACTGGCCTGTAGTGGACACTCCAGCCCCCAGCAGCAGGTCCAGGTGACATAGAGTCAGGCTGAGGTCTGATTCACACCAGGACTCCTGGACCAGCAGAGCTCACTAAGGAGGAGCAACAGAACCTCTGTTAGATCTGGACTCTCTATTGCAGAGCATCTCTATTATTCTTCATCTACATTTCCTTTTATTTATCAGCCTCTGTAACGAGCTAAAGAAGTGATCTAATGGATTTTCATGCTGAAGAAGCAGACTGAATGAAAGCTGCATGAAATGGAGAGCAGAGACGTGTGGCTACAGTCTGCTATCCTGGAAATATCAGCTCATCGTCCTCTGATGCAGGGCTTCTGAACTGCACCGTGTTAAAGATGATCTGTGGAGCATGTGGTCGTACTGTAATTATAGTCATAAAAAAATAATCAGGGAAATTGAATTCCATCCAGTCTGCTTTACAGCGTCTCATTGTGGTGATTAGGGGGTCGGCTTGAGGGCGAATGCATGACAGCGCTCTGAAAGGCCTCCATCAGCTTCGCTCAGAGCTGAACTCTGAGTGATCGATCCCAGAGAAATCAGTTTGAAAATATCTGACTGGGTGGGAATGTCTATAATACCAAGAAAAAAGGAAAAGTCGCTCATATTCAGAATTCAAACTTCTGAAAGTTCTTTAAATCTGAAATGATTCCATCCTGTTCAATAAATGATCAGTGTTTTTAATTCAGAGTAATTTCCATGTGAATATGCTTTACTGGAGGCATCCATGTAAAGCATATTCACATGGAAAT